CTCAGGCGATCCGCCCTCCTCGGCCTTCCAAAGTGCTGGGGTTACAGGTGTGAGCCACCATGCCCAGCAGAAAATCAGTAGTTCTTATTGAATTGTATATATTTTCCTGGAAGCTCATATGTGAAAGGTTGCTAGTGAATGTGCGTATGTCTAGCAGTCTAGGCTGGAAGGAGGATGGGAAGGTTGATAATGTGAAAGATAGTGAATAAACCTGAACTGCGTGGTTGGTATGTCTACTTAAATAAATATAGTATCTGATCTAGCATGGAAACTGGGAGCTAATTGCATTCCTGGATGATGTCCTTAGCTGCTATAATCTACTCTAAGAGGTTTGTCCTCTGCATATAGGAAAACCACCAGGAACTTGAAGCAATGGAAATAATAATCTCTTACACTTGAATAACACTTTATAGTTTCAATATATATTCACATCCATTATACCATTTGAGTCTCAATTCAATTGAGTGAAGTAAACAGGGCAGATATTTTTTCTGGTGAAGGAAAAATATCAAAACTGAAAAATGTCAGTGACAATTCAGCATCAAAATTGGGATTATAACCTTTGTTTTTTGACTCCTAATTCAACATTCTTTCCACTGTACCACTTTAACTGTAGCTTGAATGGTTTTGGCCTAAATGGAATATATTTGAAAACGTAAATAGAAGTTATGTTATATAACATCCCAGCTGCTGGATCTGGTTTAGCAGAAGCTTGAAGAACAGCAGAAGAGGTTGGGAGGTAACCAAGTGTGTAAAATGAGTTCCGCATTTTCCGATGTTCAATAAAAGCAACAGAGAGTGCTCAGACCATCCTTTGGGACAATAAAGATTCTTCAACCCTTAGTCTTTCATGGCTTTGCATTATTCCTTATCAACTCCCATGACAAATTCTAGCCTTTTCAACATTGTGACCCTACATTTTTAACCTGTTCCTCCAACTTAACCGGTTCTTCCAACTTATCTCCCAGCCTCCTGCGTCTTGTCATACATGGTGAAAATCCGTCCCTTCTACTGTCTGACTCATTCTCTTATCCCAGTTCATATTAATCTTGTTTGTCCTGAGACATTTGCCTCTATCTGTTCTTCTACTAACCTTTTTGGTTTTTCTGCATGGAATCTCAATTAATTGGAAGCAATCTCTGCTATGTAAATCAAATAATATGGCAGAAGATACTCTGCAAAAATAGCTGGCAAAGATTTATTATTATTCTGCATTTTCTGGGGGATATTTTTTACTTACCAACCTTACTGAAACCTGGATATTCTTTGCCCTGATGATGTCGCTTCCCTCTAAACTTGTTCCAGTTTGTCCATAATGTAGTCTTAACCTGGTTTTGTGTGTGTACATGGGATGGGACTTTCTTTTTAAAAACTTTATTTGGATACAAGTTCTCACTATATTGCCCAGGCTGGTCTCAAACTCCTGAGCTCAAGAAATCCTGCCTCGGCCCTGCAAAGTGCTGGGATTACAGATGTAAGCCACTGTGCCCAGCCCAAGGAGGTGGGGCTTTCAATAGTGAGGAAACATTCTTCCCATTTCCCAGCTCACAGGAGCCAACAAACTTCCGTTTCCTCACATGTTTTTCCACAGCAGGGAAAGGGAGGCAAGCAAAAGATTGAAGATGAAAGCAAGAGGGAAAACAATGTATAAAGAAGTTCCCAGAGGGGATAGAGAAAATGGCCTGAGGTCATGGGAAGAGGTGTTGACCTTAGGGAGGTAATAAATGATTTCATTTTGTCTGTAGATGATGGGAGGGAAACACTGGAAGACATTCTGAGATAGAGAAGTTTGCAGGGAGAACATCCACCTTTTCATTAAAGCAAGAGAATGGAAGTTATTTGCTGAGGTAGGTGGCTGGGGTTGGGTGTCTGGTAAGAGTAGAGATGAACCGAAGTAGTTGCTTTGGTAAATATGGTCAGGGACCAGTAAATAAGGCTGTGGAATGGCAAAACAGCAATGAGAATAAGCTATACCACCTCTGCCACCCACAAAGGACAAAAATACAGTTTATTTCTCCTTTAGAAGCACAGCAAGTAGTTAGACTAAGAAGAATCAATACAAGGAAAGGCCAATATGAAGAAGATCCATTTGGGGATGAGGCCAACTCTTCCAATATAGAACCAATTTGTCTATTTTTTCCACCCTCACTACCAACTGCCCTACTTCAGGCTCTTATTGGATGAGTACTGCAACTGCTTCCTACCAGGCACCCAGGCTTCCAGCCTTTCTCCCCTCAGATTCATCCTTCATTTCACTTATCACTCTATGGTATTTGTGTTTAATTAACTGTCTCACCCATTAGGCTATGAGCAACTTGAAGGCAGTCTTCCAGTCTTCTCTGTGCCCCTGGGGTCTAGCGCAGAATCTGGAGTGTAGTAGACACTCAGTAACGGTTCTTTGAATGAAAACTACTGGAGCGATATTTCTAAAACATAAACCTGATCATGCCACTTGCCTGCTTTAACATTTGAAATGATCCTTAGCATGATACTCCAGCGCCCACATGGGCTGATCCCATGTGTTTCCATAGCTTCATCTCCTGCCACCTTCTCCCCTTTCCCACCCATATCCCTGTCTTAAGTTAATCATACTTAACTAGGACTTGAAGTTCCTTAGCAAGCTGTGTGCTCTAACCTTTGTGCTTTTACACATGCTTTCTCCCTACCTGAAATACCCTAGCAAAGTCCTGCGCAGTGATACCAGGGCTAACCTTGAACATCCTTCTGCCAGTTATCAAGGTGAAACTAAAGTTAAAGCTTGTGGCCTGACCTATTTTATTGTTCTTTTCCCTCCTCCAAGAAATAGTTGAGCCTAGCCTACGTGCTTGTTGGCATGTGGTGAGCTGGTGCCGAGGGTGAGCAGTGAGTCAGGTTCCCGTGTGTTTGGTATATGTCTGTCACAGTTGTTCTGTGTGTGCCATCCCAAACTATTTCTCAGAATATTCCGTCTGGTCTTTCTTCTAGCCAGCTCCCCTCTCCAACTCATTCCAAGTCTGTTATAAAGGACTCTGAGAGCCCTGGTTCTGGATCATATTGACAAACCCTGTAAACTTTCAGGGCTAAGATGGAGGCCAAGACACAGGGTCAGGGCTGAGCTAGGCTAGGTAGCTAAGAAACAGGCTGCCGTGGTGGCTTACACCTGTAATCCCAGCACTTTGGGAGGCCGAGGTGGGCAGATCACAAGGTTAGGAGATCGAGACCATCCTGACCAACATGGTGAAACCCCGTCTCTACTAAAAATACAAAAATTAGCTGGGTGTGGTGGCACGTGCCTAGAATCCCAGCTACTTGAGAGGCTGAGGCACGAGAATCACTTGAACCCAGGAGGCGGAGCTTGCAGTGAACTGAGATCGCACCACTGCACTTCAGCCTGGTGACAGAGCAAGACTCCGTATCAAAAAAAAAAAAAAAAAAAAAAAAAAAAAAAAAAAAAAAAAAAAAAAAAGGCAGAGAAATGTTCTGTTGCAGATGTATAAGTTGAGAAGCCGGATGTGTTTCCAAAAGCCCCTTCAGAAATCAAAGGCCTTTTCTGCACCTGCATAGGGGCCTGCCTTCTGTGGTTTGGACCAGATAGAAAGGGCTACTTATACAGCTCCAAAAGCTTGATGACGGGGGCAACTGGTTCGTATGTTGCTTATTTTAAAGAGGAGATCAGGCCATATTTCTAGCCTTTTAATGAAGGTAGCAACTTAAGTTTTTAAAATTTAACTTCAAAAGAAAACATACACACATATACATACTATTTTCTAGCTGAAGGTTTTCAATAATAGTAATGATCATGATGATGACCACGGTCATTAATGATGTATTATATGTATCAAAATTGCTAAAAGAATAGATTTGTAATGTTCTCACTACAAAAAAATGATAAGTTCGTGGGATGATTAATATGTTAATTAGCTGGACTGAATTTTTCTACATCATATACATAGATCAAAACATCACACTGGAGCCCATAAATATATACAATTATTTGTCAATTAAAAGTAAATGATAAAAATATTTCTTAAAAGATCACATAATAATTCTAAAATGCAACTCTAAAAAAAACAATAATTCTGGGTCCTTTAGACATTTTGTAAACACTAGTCCTAGATCCTATGTAAATACTAGTCCTAGGAAGTATTTTCTAAGTTCCAGTGCCATCAGAGCTTATAAAGTTTTTAGAGGCAAATCAGTGAGTTAGGCAACCCACTCCCAACCAATCTTTCTTTCTCTCTCATATACACCCTGTTCCCAGAGATGGAGGGAGGAAAGAAGAAAGCTGCTTTTATCCTTTGCCGTGGCCTGGGGCTGCTGGGGCTTTAAGTCAGTATGTTTGTGTAGGAGGATGAGGATGGGGGCTTTCTGACTGCTATTCATCCACCTATTCGTTCAATTTATTCATTTAACATATATTTATTAAGTAACCTACTGTGTACTGGGCACTCGGTAAAGGGATGTAATCTTCTCTATCCTGCTAGTGGCTTCTTCCAGGTCTCTCAGGGTGTTTGGAGCTCATAACCTCTTCTCTTTAACAAGGGTGACGGTTAAAACAGTTAGGGCTGGTATGGACAAAAGCAGGGAAGTGCCTGGGGTAGACACTGAGGGAGTCATGGAGGAGCTGTATTTTCCCAAATTATTCAAGATCCATTTTATTTCCCCCATTTGTTGAGGCTTTTTCTACATGTAAGCTCTAAGAGGGGGTAAAGATGAGACTTATGGGTGGCTGGCAGAGTGTCCTGAGCCCAAGACTGTACCTTGAGTATCAGTGATGATTCTAGAGCACAGTGTTTCAACCCTCAACACAGAAACAGAATCCTGGACTGGCTACTGAGGGGCCCCTGCCAGCTGCTGGCTCTGAAGTTGGTTTTGTCTGTGGGCTAGATCAGTGTAAGTTGGGGTCGAGGCTGCTCGCTCAGCTAAGCAGCTTGATTGATCTCCAGCGCTCTTTTGTCTCCTCCTCCCCAGTGGAAGCCTCTCCCCCTTTTCTCCTCTCCCCCTCTCCCCCTCTTCCCCTCTCCCCATCTCCCCCTTTCCTCCTTTCCCCCTCTTCCCATCTCCCCTTCTCTCTCTCAGGCTCTTCTGCTTTCCTCCTCTGCTTTTAATGAATCTCCAAGAGCCACCACATCTCTGGTAGTTTTACAAAACTGTCCTTGCTCTTCCTGCATTTGCCCAGTCAAGGGTATTTTTGCCTGAGGTCGGAATGATGCTGTTAGTCCTGGTGATATGATTGCATAGCAACACAGAGCAGCTCTGAGAGGGGAGGAGGAGGAGAAGGAGAAGGAAGACAGGGAGGTGGGAGAGACAGAGGGAGAGTGTGCATACAGCAGCTGTCGGCATCCCTGTCTCAGGGACTTCTTTGCTGATTCACAGAGGCAGCCCAGCCCCGGCTGCCTTACAGCTGCCGCCTGCTTCTTAGACCGGACGGAATCAGAAGGTAGGCCACAGAAAAATTATTTCCAAGCCTTGTCCTTGTTCAGCTGGCTGAGGGGAAATGACTGAGGAAGGGGAAGCTCCAGAGGTACTGTGTGGCGCGTTGGGGCGGAGTGGGGGGCGGGAGGATGAGTATGAGCGTGAGTGTGTGTGTGTGTGTGTGTGTGTGTGTGTGTGTGTGTGCACGTGTGCCTGCCTGCCTGTCTGGAAAACTTGCATTAAAAAATGCCCTCAATAAAGTAGTCACCATTTAGATTCATAAAGAAAAAAAAAGATGCCCAAGAATAGAAACTCAAGCCAATTTGAGCAACTAAGGTCTAAAAATGAATAAGAAGGAGGTACACAGTTTGCTTCTCTGGGAAGAGAGGGGCATTTGTTTATTTATTTTAGGTTCTCAATGGCATGCTTTTTGTCCGAGAGTATATATCTTGGCAGGAGGGAAGGAAAGGTGTGTGGAAAGCATTCGCTAACAAGGGAGGAGGGAGGAAACATGGGACCTTGGAGCAGGTTCCCTGAACAAATGAGTATTATGGCCAGCAGACAGGACACAGGAGTTCTTCCCTGAAGTAAACCAGGCTCTGACCTAAGAGCCTGGAACTGAAGGTCTCCTCTCATCTCTGTGTTTACTTCCTGGCTCTATTGTTTTTCTGTTACATTTTTTCCCTCTTGTTTTCTTCCCTGGTTTCCTTTCTACACCCTGTAATCAGGAGGCGTCTTTCCACTCTTGAAAGCATAGCTTGGAGTGGTTTCAAATAGGGGTTGTTTCTCTTGGAGTCTAACACCCCATCACCTTCTGCTCTCACTGCCTTTCCCAGCATCAGGCCAAGTGCCCCAGCCTAGTAAGTGGGCCTCAGACTGTAATGGGTAGGTAAGATTTATCCCTCCTTTAGTAGTCAGGTCGAGCCGGGCCTCACGGGTGTTGGGTGTAAGCAGGTGGCAAGGCTGGGGTGGGGTGGAGTGGGGTAGAAGAGGACGTCAGCAGCAGCTGCTGCCTGCTTCCGTTGAAAGCATGGTGCATGCTGTCTGGAAAAGAATATACTTTTAAAAAATGTTTTCTTTTTGATTGTCAAAAGAACAAAAGCCTTAAAAAAGCTATGGCTAGTTCATCTTAACTCCTGACTTTTCCAAAGGAATCCTTGTTTCTAGATGAAAAGCCCTCAGGTAAATCACCTTTTAAAAAGCTGGTGGGAACCACAAACCTCAGGAGATTTTCTTTCTAAGGTTTGCGTGGGGACATCATCCCAGAGAATCTCAGGGCCTTGTAAGGAAACCTCCGTGAAAAGGCAGCGTTGAAGTGGCAGTATTGTGTCTTGTCTCTGAAAGAAGACCAAGCCCCTGTGTCTCTGGGTGGGCAGGCCTCTGCCCTATAGTCTTGCTTTCTGTAAACCGCTGCTAGGGGATGAAGGCATATGGAAAAAGGTCCTCTTCCTGTGAGATTTGTACTTCTAGGCATTCAGCATTAGCTAAGGAGCTCTGTGCTCCAGGACGAATTACCCTTCAACTCCGCCAGAAAGGAGGGGAGCATAGCTTGAAGCAGTGAATTTAGCAAAAGCCCCGAGCCAGATGCAGAGAGCACATCTGGAATTCAGCCCTTCTAACTATAGATGCTCACAAGTTTCTGATGTTGGATCTGCCACCATGCCAACTAGGATGGGGTCTCACTAATGAAGGCTGAGAAGATAACCTTCTAAACTTCTCAGGGATACACACTCAGAGGAAACCCATTCAGTGGAAATTATACTATGAAATGACATTTCTCCCTTACGAAAGATTCTAAACATGCATCAGCAACAAAAATAGCAAGTGAGATAAATTCTTCTAGGATAGCATTTACCAAACCAATGTTCTATAGTGCACCATCCTGGGAGAATGTGAATAGATTCTGTTTTAAAATAAGTGGTGTGTGTGTGTGTGTGTGTGTGTGCATGTATTCTGTGGTTCAGTACTTTTTTGGAAATGCTTCTTAACCGAATTCTCATTTTGGAGAGTCACAGTGTATATAATGCATATTAAAGACTGAGAAGCACTGCTGTAAATGAATCTGTTTAATTTCGTTTAACCCAGTACATCCCAGACTGGTTTGACCAGGGAACACTTTTCTGTACGGAAAACACTTTTGCCTCTTACATTTTGGGGAATTGCTGCTCCAAAAAAAGAAGAAGAGAGAAAAAAAAAAAACTAGAAAAAATCGTCACACGGATAACACTTGTAAAATAGTCTAGTTTGACAATGCATTTCTAAACATGAAAAACCCAAGCAGTTGATCATATTGTTTTCCTTCCCATAGATGAGAATCTGGGATTATCTCCTGATTCCCCAGCCCACTGTACCCAACTGCTGCTTCTCTAGCAAGTTCCCTCTTGTGAAACTAGTCCAAGGAAAATGAAGCAGATTTAAGCAATAATCCTTTGATTTTGAGTGCAACATTTACATTTAATACATTTTTTTCTAGTATTTTGTTAAATGCAAAAATTGTCAACTTTCTTTTCAGCATGGGCTTTGTTGCATTCTTTTAAACAATGTGTTATAAAATACCTTTGTACATTCAAAAAGGTATAAAAATAAAATGGTGAAAATCAGGCTATTCACTGCCCAGCTTGATAAAGAAGTAGAGTTGAAACCTTCTGTCTATTCTCCATGATTAAAGTTCTCTATTTCCTTTCAAAGTAACCACTATCCTGGAGTTGGTGTTTATTATTCCCAGGTATTGATTTATACTTTTACTACATGTGTACCTATTTTTAAACACTGTATACTACTGCTTTATATGTTTTAAAAGTTTATATCAGTGGTGTATTATACGTATTCTTCTGCAACTTGATTTTTCTTTTCTTTTCTTATTTTCCCCCCAAGAGACAAGATCTTGCACTGTTTCCCAGGCTGGAGTGAAGTGGTGTGATCATAGCTCACTGCAGTCTCGAACTCCTGGGCTCGAGCAATCTTCCAGTGTAACAGCCCCTCAGGTGGCACCACTATGACCAGCTAATTTTTTTTTTCCTTCATAGAGACAGAGTCCTGCTGTGTTGTCCAGGCTGGTCTCAAACTCCTGGCCTCATGTCGTCCTCTAGCCTCAGCCTCCCAAAGTGTTGGGGTTTCAGCCATGAGCCACTGCACCTAGCTTGAAACTTATTTTTTCTTTTCAATGTTATATTTGTGAAATGCATCCATGTTGTAACATGGGGCTCTAGTTTACTCATTTTTTTCAGCATTGTATGCTCATCTAATGACTGTACCACACTTTATCCATTCTGCTGTTGATGGACATTTAGGCTATTTCTAGTTTTGAGCAATCACAGAGGTACTGCGATAATTCTTGTGCAACTATTCTTAGGTGACAATTTCTATTGGGTAAATATCTGGGTAGAATTGTCCCCTTACAGGGTATGTGCATTGTCACCTGTGGGAGATATTGTCAAATCACTATGCAAAATAGTTTACTAACTTATACTCCTACCAGCAATGTATAAAGATTTCAGATTTATTGCATTAATGGGCTCTTACAATTTTCCCCCATGGGGATGCAGCTCTGATTTTTAAATTGGACAATAAATTTTATTTCTCAAAATTGCTTGATAGCTAAACTTCCCAGGAATACATTTCCTTGTTTTCATTTGTAAGTGAGGGGATTGGCCTAGATGATCTCAAAGGTCCTTTCTAACTTGAAAATGAGTTTCTATGATTTATTCATTAAATGAGGTACATCTGAAGCAGAACCTTGGTATTTTGGCTGCATTGCAGGAATTATTTTAGGAACTATAACAAAGTATGTCACCAGTGAAATGCGTTTCTCTTCTTTTACTGCCATACTGTTGGGTAGAAAGGCAGTGGTGTGAGAGGAAAGGCAGTTACACAGTGTTACTTGGATTAGGGAGAGGAATCTGTAGCCCATGGGAAGGGGGTCTCCTTCCCACTGCCCTGTTCTTTACAGAACCTCTTCATCTTAGAAGTCTTCCCTATCTCTTGAATTTTTTCTCCCAAGAATAATAAATTTGCTATTTTTTTTTAAAGTAGTCCGGGTGCAGTGGCTCATGCCTATAATCCCAGCACTTTGGGAGGACGAGGAGGGCAGATGACCTGAGGTCAGGAGTTCGAGACCAGCCTGACCAACATGGCAAAACCTCATCTCTACTAAAAATACAAAAATTAGCCGGGCGTGGTGGCACGTGCCTGTAATCTGAACTACTCGGGAGACTGAGGCAAGAGAATTACTTGAACCTGGGAGAGAGAGATTGCAGTGAGCCAAGATCACACCACTGCACTCCAGCCTGGGCAAGGGAGAGAGACTCTGTCTGGAAAAAAAAAAAAAAAAGCAAATAATATAAAGCAAAAAGGAGAATTCCCTTCATGCAACTCTCTAAAAGTAATATCAATGAACAACAGATGTCCAGGCTTCCTTTCTGCACATACACACAGTAAAAAAAAATGTTTTTACAAAATTGGAGTTCCACTAAACATGCTATTCTGACATTTGTTTTCTTTGGCCTAAAATATATATCTTTGAAATCTTTCCAAATTAGTGCATATAGATCTATGTCTTTATTTTTAATAGCTACATAATATTCTGCCTTGTGAGTGGCTATCGTAATGGATAACATTTGAATGTTTACTAAATGCCAGAAACTATGAATTAACTCCTTGCAAAAAAGCCAAGAGATGGGTCTTTTTGTTATCCCTGTTTTACAGATGTGGGGACTGAAACACAGTAAGGTTGGGGAGCTTGTCCATATATGTGCTGATAAGTGGCCAGGGTGCAAACCAGAGCGTCCTGGTTCAGAGCCCCAGACAATCCTGCTGTGATATGTCTCAGACATAGTCTACTCACCAGTCCCCTGTTGGTGGACATTTGAGTGAATTGCAGATTTTTGCTATTGCAAACAATACTGCAGCAGACATCTTGGTCCACTTCTGCAGGTCTTTCTGTAACATAGGTTCTTAGATTTCTTCAGTTTCTAGGTAGAAAGAGCTTATTTATTTATTTATTCAAAAAGTATTTATTGAACTCTA